GTCCCATTGTTGGCAGGGGCAGGATTTGGAAGCGGCTTAGCTGCCTCACCTGAAGCCACTCCCTGCTCCGCTGCCCTGGGAGGCTGGCCAGGCGGGAGCTGGGCTGCCCGGGGCTGCAGGATGAACTTCCAAGAGGGCCCACGCCCAGGGCTCCTGCAGGAGGCTCAGGGTCAGTCCACCTGGGTGTCCCCACAGGGCTTTGATTCGCCCAGAGCCAGTGACCTGAGAGACCTGGAGAGGCCTCCGGGCCATTTATGACCTGGCCGCGCACCGCCCCTCAGCCGCACCTGCTCCTGAGAACAGAGGCCCTCAGTCCAGCCTCACCAAGGGGAGGGGACTGGGCTCCTCGGAGGAGGGAGACAATGTCCTGTGGGAGACACTGTTGATTTTCTAAAGTCATCACGTGCCACCAAATGCCACGCAGTTCAACAGGCTATTTTATTTCTACCCCTGATTCTTTCGCCCCTTTCCAAGGGTTTTCTGTCTCTGCAACCGCACTGCTTTTCTTTACCTATCAGCTCATTGTAAAGGGGCCCACACTGAAGCTGGATCTTCCGTGAGTGAAAAGTGAACTGATACAAACAGCAGGCCAGTGGCCTCGGTGTTGATTCAAGGCCAAGTCCAAGTGAGTGTTAACGTGCGGTTCCCTTAAAGGGGCTGCTGCCACCACCAGGAAACAGACCTCAGGGCGCGTAGGAAGATGCCTCATTATTGACTGATTGATTTAGATAAAATAGACACATAAAGTTATATTAATTTCAGGTGCACAGCATAATGGTTTGATGTTTTTATACACTGTGAAATGGTCACGAGTGTTATTTACCTCATGTGAATTGTATAACTTTTCTTGTGTTAGAATCACAAATGCAATGAGTGTAATTGAAACAATTTCTCTCTCATTTGATGTTTATTAAGGTAAAACATTAAGTATACTGTTTTCTGTTTGCTTCTATTGCTAGTTCAGCCCTGTGACTTTCCAGATATACCACATGGATACCTACATCATGAAGCAAGATATAAACCATATTTTCCAGTATCAGTAGGAAAATGGTATTACTATTCCTGTCATAACAACTATGTGACTCCTTCAGAGAGTAGTTGGGAGTACCTTACATGCACACGAGATGGATGGTCGCCAAAAGTGCCCTGCCTTAGTAAGTAAACCCCTCATCCTGTGCATGTGGAAACATTTCAGAGCGGAGAAGGCAAAACACGAGTACAATTCAGCCTGCGTGAGACAGTTAAGGTCGAGGGAAAGATCAGTGTAAGGTTTTGTTTTATGAGGAGACCCTCATTAAAAACACGAGAGATAAAAATAAAGACTATGAAAATACTTATGTCATTTTTACATAGTAAGTTNGAAAATACTTATGTCATTTATACATAGTAAGTTGTGAAAACTACAGATAAATAACATTTCATATTATTTTTTATTTTCTAACAAAGTTCAGTTTTTCTTAAGCTATGTGTTATTTGGGGTACTTATGTATTCTGATTTAAATATTGTAAAGATAAGTTTTAATTTATTATCTTGACCAAATTAATGTGTATGTTTTTTCATTATCTTAGGAAAATGTGTTTTCAATCATTTGGAAAATGGACACTCTCCACGGTATGAACGAAAATATTTACAGGGTCAGTCCCTAAAAGTTAACTGCTATCAGGGCTACAGTCTTGAAAATCAGCAGACCATAATGACCTGTACAGAGGATGGATGGGTCCCTCCTCCCAAATGCATCCGTGTCGGTAAGAAACTGGCCTAAGATCTAGTCTGTCTGTGGTTGTCTAGGCCTCACCTGTACTAACTGTGGCAGAATGTTTCAACCAGCTTCTTGTTTTGCCAATGGACTTATTTGGTTTTATTTTTTCAAGTGTGTATGAGTGGAAACGCCAATTTCTTGATATATTAATAGCAAAATAAAGAAAACTACCAAAAGACCATAAAGAGCAAACCTGTAATAATAGCGTTTCATAATCAAGATGACAGGTTAGGAGTTTCTATTGACTTCCCCACAAAGAACACTGATTCTGACAGCCACCCGTGGATGAGAGCATCTTTGAGGGGTCCAGAACCCAGCAGAGAAGCTTCAGTCACCATTGGAGCAAAAAGATCCAAGATTGGATGCATTGAAGACACTGAGAGCAACAGTTCCACCTTCCTGAGCTCCTCCTTCCCTGAAGTGTCCCTCTTGGGCGTTTGGGCTTGGAGACGTCGAGTCTTACTGGTTGTGTATTTGGTTTGGGAAGGCTAAGGTGGCTCCAGTCAATGCGATCCAGTCAAGGCTTGTTTTTAAACTCATAAGCCTGGTTTGGGGAGCCTTTTACTCTCAGACTAAATTTTTCAGAATACGGATGAATACGGCCTCTTCTGGTCTCTCTACTAAATGATATGTGTTTAAAGATGTCTTTCCAGTTTGACTGATCAAATAGGAGTGTTTTGCCCGGCCCATGTGGCTCAGTGGTTGAGCCTCAACCTAGGATCCAGGAGATCGCGGTTCNAGCGTGGCTCAGCGGTTGAGCCTCAACCTAGGATCCAGGAGATCGCATTCGATTCCCCGTCGGGGCACATGCCCGGGTTGGGGGCTCGATCCCCAGTCGGGGGCGTGCAGGAGGCAACCGATCAATGACTCTCTCATCATTGATGTTTCTCTCTCTCTCTCTCCCTCTCCCTTCCTCTCTCTGAAATCAATAAAGACATAAAAAAAAAAAAATCATGTGAATGTTTTCCAGAGTTGTGTGTGTCCTGGAAATCTTGGAATTTATTGTTTCCTGGTAGCTCTTTCCTCTGCTACTTACTCTTCCCATTCTCACGGGGTCTCGCCCGGCGCTGTAGTGTCATATATTCCGCCAAAGAACCGAGGGAGCGCTGCGCAGATTTGTGGCGCTCGCTCTTTCATTCCACAGTTCTTTCTACTCTGCTGATCTGGCCTCAAAATTTGGTGGCGGCACCTCTTCGAGAACAGCGGGTTTCGTTTCTTCTGTTGAGTGTGGCCGACATGCCCTGCTTGGGCTTTCCCTCCCTGTGTTGTAATCTGGAAAGTTCCCACCTGCCCGTGGAGCCACTTTGAGACCAGGCCTCACCTCACTTGCCTCTGTCTACCAGGGGTCACAGGCAGGCACTGGCTGTGTCCATGCTGCCTCACAGGTGATTGTCATAGATTTGGATCGGCTGCCTCCCGATCGACCCCAGCTGGGCATCGAGCCCGCAGCCCGGGCCTGAGCCCTGACCGGGAATCGAACCGTGACCTCCTGGTTCATAGGTCGATGCTCAACCACTGAGCCACACCGGCCGGGCAAAACCAAATCTGGTCCTCAGTGGTTTCCCCGTTGTGTGTGTGTGGCTAGAAGTGTCTTCATTAGTCTTTCCTTGTGTTTATCGATTTTACTCTTTTTTCCAACGAACCACCTTTTATTTAACTACATTTTCTCTCGGGTCTGTTTTCTATTTGCTCTCTGCTCATACTTTCATCTCTTCCAATTTGTTTTTCTTTTATCAGCGTTAATGGGTGTAATTGAAAAATGGGAATTGCATATGCCTAACGTGTTTTCTGTCTCGACATATGCATACGTTGTGAAGTGGCCACCAGATGGAGCTGCTAAACACAGCCATCCCCTCACAGAGTGACCACTGTTTCCCATAGGGGGACAGCACGTAAGCTCTACCTCTCAGCAGTATTTAAAGCAAGTCAGTCTTAGGAAAGGACCCTTTGCTAGGAGAGCTCTGGCATGCTGTAGGGTTCCAGATTCATTAGAGCGGGGTGGGGAACCTCTTTTCCACTTAGGGCCACTTGGATATTTATAACATCACTCTCAGGCCTTACAAAATTATCAACTTAAAAAGTAGCTATGAGAAAAGCTCCTGGACTTACTGACTTTCGAGTTCTCCCTGTGGTTGCCTTGGCAGGGCCAGACCAAAGGACATACATACAGTGCAGGGGCTCCATGTTCCCCACCCCTGCATCAGACAAGCAGATTTATAACAATTTCTTACAGGGCATCTGAGTATTTTAAATCTTGCTTAGCTCCAAAACAAATTTTTTTAATGCCTTGCTTTAATATATTTTCAAAAACTCATAGCTTATTTTCTCTGACACCATACCTTGGGTGATTAGGATTTTTGCAGGTTTTCATTTAAAAATGACTCCTTATTTTTTAGGCTGTAATATTGTCTGAGTCGTTGTGAGAATGTTTACTGACCGTACGCTTACATTCTGCTCCTGCTCTCTTCCCTTCAGACATATGTTTAAAATCAGAGGCAAATATTGAGAATGGATTTATTTCTGAGTCTGAATCTACATACACCTTACACAAGGAAATAAAATACAACTGCAGACAAGGTTATATAACAGAGGATGGTCAGACATCGGGATATATTACGTGTCTGCAAAGTGGATGGTCAGCTCAACCCAAATGCGTCAGTAAGTCATTCATGAGGATCCTGTTCAGTATTTAATGACCGTTGAACAAGTTTACTTTAACTGAATTCTCTTTCTTGGGGTGGTAGAAGCTGAGGTGGTAATATTTGAAAAGCTAAATAAAAAGTTTTTGAGAAGGTACAGGTAAATTTTTTTTTTTACCTTCAAAATTAACCACTAGCAGGGTAGATAGAAGCCCACCTTTCAGTTCAAGGTTTTTGCACCGTAAGACATCCTGTGATTTGCAAACAGGTCAGGGAGGCTTCTGTGTATTCTCATGGAAACTCACCCATTTTCAGCTGAGACCTTTGCCTGTTGTACCTGCCTTTATTTAGGGGGTCAGACTTTTATGTCAGTCTTTGTTCCTAGACATGAAAGTTAGTTGTTAAGTAAAAGTATCGGTGCACAGTACATAACGTTGGGATAACTTCACCTGTGTGTTTATATGCTAGATACTGAAGGGCAGGTCGTCTTCTGAAAGACCATTCCCCCTAGAAAACCCACGGAACAGTTAGTGGAGCCTGCGAAATGCTTCCAGACGGAACTGGATTCTATCCTGTTGACAGATTCTTCTGCTTTACTGCCTCCATGTTTATGAACATTTCCTAAGAACAGCTTTCTCATTTTTTCTTACTCATCCCAAGATACACATTGATATTTTCCATTCACTTTAGGTGAAGGGGACATTTAAAATGCCCATTCCTATTATTTTTATTTTTTTTCCAATTGAATCACTTCCTATGGGAAGTACCGAAAGAAGAAATGATAGAGGTTGAATCCATATCAGACTCATTTTATATTAAATTGAGATTGGTTATTCATTACAACACTCTTAATAGGAAAGAAAAAATGCCTCTATTATTCTTGTTATTATTATAGTTTTGCTTTCTTTTTTTTAAACCTTTAAGCTAGCTGACTGCATAATATGTTATAAAATTTGAGGTAAACTATTTAAACCTTTATTAACATCACTCCAGAAAAGAGCTAGTGAAAACTGAGACCATTTTTAACATTTTGTTTTCCTATACTAATTATAAATATAGAACTGTCTTTACATTCAATCTTGATAAGCATAAAAGAATATACAAAGAAGAATATATATTAAGAAGTATCTGTAAAAGCTAAATTAACGTGAGCTTTAAAAATTAGTTTGCTTTAAAGTAGAATTTTATAGTGTTAAAAATTTACTCACTGTTGAAAATTAATTTTGTGTTGAACCAGTTCATTTTCTCAAGCATGTATTTCACAGCTGCTAACAAGTTTGGCATCTGCATTCACGAAATGCTATTCTGCTTTGTTAAAAAGAAAAAAAGTATAATGCATCTGCTATGGCCTGTTTTACTGCTAGCATGGAATAAATGTCTAACTTTAAATGAATTGGGGAAAATGCTCCTAAAATGAACTTTTTGGATGATTTAGGCGATGGTGAAACTGCTGTGTAGAAATACATGTTTGTATTATGAGTAACGATTTTAGAACAATGATTTACCACTGGTACGCTTAGACTATTTTTATGTGATACATAATTTATTAGCACGTGCTAAGTGATAAAGCTTTTTCTGTTCTTGGGATGGAACTTATGCAATTGGATTGTCCGTTAAATAATATTAGAAATGAAATCTTCAATTCTATTATGCATTAGAATCTTGTGATATGCCAGTATTTGAGAATGCCAGAGCCAAGAGTGATGGCACGTGGTTTAAGGTCAAAGACAGGTTGGCCTATGAATGCCAGGATGGATATAAAAATGGAGACGGACACACCACAGGGGTCATAGTGTGTGGTGAACATGGTTGGTCTGATACGCCCACCTGTCATGGTAAGTACTGATCTTCAGGATTATCCAAATAGACAAAATCTGTTCGTAATGTATACGGGTTTTATGATTCTACATGCAAGCTTTTATATTCTGTAAATATTATATCATATTCTGGTCACTCATGACCCAAACTGTATTTTTTTACAACTTCCTCAGCAGTTTCCTTCCCAGTTTGTGCCTGGCGCCTCCCAGCTCCGGGGTGCGTCCCTGCAGGTCCCGAGAGGATCTCTCTAGTCTCTGATTTCGAATATCTCTGAGGACTGTTGCGTGACTCTCCTTTATGTCTGCCAGTCAGCTGTCTGTCTTTCAGGGTTAGAAACAGAACTGCAGTCTGTGGGCAGCTGGGCGGATGGAGAATATTCCAGCTCAAGGGGACAGTATGTGCAAAGCTTGGAAAACAAAACAGTATTTGGGAAATAATCAGGGATTCTGCTGAAGATGATGGAGACTTTTAGGTGGGAATGGGGATAGATGGACAGCTGAGAAGGTGAGGCGCAGAGGACAGATTTGGGACACGTTCTGGTGAGAGAAAACACAGGGAACGTTACTGCATGCTGGGTGTCAGACAGTAATAACCAAGGGACTCGCATCTTTACATTTTTCATAAGAAGGCAGGCAAATGGATTTGGCTTTTTGTAAGTGGGTGGGTGCGGTAGAAGGAGCACTGAGAGGGACAGCTCAGCTTTTGACTTGGGCACATGATGGTTGAGCTGCCCGCGGACGGTCAAAACTGGGTTATAAACTGTAGAGCCCAATGTTTAGGTGCAGCCAGGTCTCCAGGCGATGATCACCATGTAAGTGACGACATCTCCGAGGGAAGGGGACAGCCTGGGAAAGGCAGAGACCTCGGGGCTGAGCCCTGAGCTTCCCGGCCTGTTTGAAGATGTCAGGCAGAAGGGCCGTGGGCAGCAGAGCGGAGAGACAGGAGCCCCCGGAGGGAAAGCGTTGGAATGGACGCTGTGGCAGGTGTGCAGAGGGAAGGAAGGGGTGAAGCCAGAGGAAGGGTCGCTGGCGGGTTGATGGGGTCCGTGGCGCCGGCCCGCGCGGGCTCCGGCTCCATCCCACGATTTGCTAAGGCCGCGTCTCGGGGCAGCCCCAGAGCTCATCCGAAGGGGCACCCACGCTTCTTAATCTGCACAGTGCTTCAGTGTGGACAAACATCCTAGTATTTTTTAAAGTGTCTTGGTCATTAGACTCCATTCTCCATGGGCACTTCTCCCACAGTGCCTGCCAGGCAGCACCCCCAAGGAAGCCGCAGTCTAGCCACATTGCTATGGGGACTGGGGGCTCCTTCTAACTCAGCTGGTGCGTCCCGTTCGAAGAATGTCAGATGGTGGCGGATTTGGCTACTTAGAAGCCAACAGTAAATAGACCAGAAAAGGTTTTGGGTGGGACGGATGGAGCAGAACCTACTAGTACCTGCTGAAGAGAGACGATTAGTCAGAAATGTGCACGGCCGCGGGGATAACTCCTCCAAGAAGCTGGCTGCCTGGGAACTGGCGCCCAGGACAGTGCTCAGTGAAACGACGTGCGGAAGGAAGTAGTTTTGGGGAGAAGTTGGTTGACAGCAGAGCCCACCGAATGCCGAGGAGTGTGTAGTCCAGAGGGAAGCAGGCAGGGCTGCGTGCCTGAGGTTGGGCGTCCCCGGCAGGGTGGCAGGGACAGGCAGCCAGAGCTCCTGTGGAAGCCCGAGGCTTCGTGGCAGCAGAGCCCCTTCCAACATACGTGTACATACTGACTTCAGAGAGAGGAAGGGAGAGGGAGGGAGAGAAACACCAATGATGAGAGTCATTGATCGGCTCCCTCCTGCTCGCCCCCTGCTGGGGGTCAAGCCCCAACCCGGGCCTGTGCCCTGACCGGGAATCGAACCCCGATCTCCTGGATCCCAGGTCGAGGCTCAACCTCTGAGCCACACCTGCCGGGCTCCTCCCAGCTTTTTAACAGGCGGATGGAAGGAGCAGGGATGTGCGACTCTCCTGCTGTGAGGAAGCTGGAGTTGGACGTTTCTGCTCCCCTTGACCCAGGAGACAGGGTCGTGTGACAGGGAGCGTACACGGGAGAAGGGAAGCAGGACCACAAGGCTGAGTAGAAAAGGTTTACAACAGGTTTCAGAGAGGGGGAGACCGACACACGGGGACTTTATGACCAGGAGAAGTAGACGCTCCGTGTCTAAGGCCCGGGTGATCGCACTCCACTCAGGCTGTGCACACGCACCTAGTCGGCTCCACGTCGGCTGAGAGAAAATGGTGAAAAATACGAGGCGTCTGCCTTTTGAGAGCTTTCCTTGTATTATGGGGGAAAAAAATGACAAAGCCAATGAACCAAATGAGCAACTGTGTCTAAGACATTTTTATATACCCTGTGTGCAAAGAAACAAAAGAATCTGAGGGCTTCTAACATAGGGATGGAGGGCTCTGTCTCACATAGGATGACGCCTGTGCCCAGAAGGGCTGAGAACCATTAAGGACGGCGCAACAGCGAGAGCAAGAACTGACCTGTTTAGAAATATTCAAGGACCATAAAGCCTGGAGTCTGGATTGACAAAGGGAGATGATATAAGATGACACTGGAAGTGTAGGCAAGAGATGGATCCTAAAGAGTTTGGATTTTACTCTCTGTAAAAGGGCGGGGCTTTAAGGTGATCATAAATGCGTTTTCTGGGATTAGAGGCAGATCCAGGTTGTATGAAGGCAGAAGTTTTACACCTTCAGGGGGCCTTCTTTAAACACACACACACACAGACACACACCAAAAAACATGCAAAATCAGGAGTATGACAGGAAAACATGAAGGAAAATATGAGGAAGTGATAAGAGAGAGCAGTAGAAACCAAGGTGGCCAACACGGCTTCCTATCGAAAATTTTATACCTTATGACCTTGGGAACGCATTGGTAGGAATTGATTTAATTTATCAATTAAGTGACTTTTAACGTTCCTCTACTGAAATATATTAGAAATGCCTCTCTGAGTGTCCTGGTTCCCCATTGGTATTTAAAGAAAAATGCCAATTTTTATTCAAGCATGTAATTTAAAATTGGAGCATTAATGTTTTGGTTTTTTACGTGAGAGAATAGTAGTGTTTTGATAATACCCAAAATGTAACATTTGATTTTATAAGTGTTGGTGATAAAATCAGATCCATAGTAGGCAAGTAGCTTTTACAGGACACATCTATTGCTGTCCTGAGAATCCCATATGGACTTGAAGAATGTATTAAACATGACAGATAATGCATTTCCAGGGAGATTTTTATTTGATGCCTCTCTGTTTATGCAACACCCAGCAACTTATTTTTGCATGACATACACAGTTTACTGACTAGACATATGTTCTCATTAAATTATTTAACTTTTTATAGAGAAAGAATGCATCGTTCCCGATATAGAACCAAACTTACTTGCTCAGCCCCAGAAAGACAAATATGTCGTTGGAGACGTACTGAAATTTTCCTGCAGACGGAGACTTAAACTTCTTGGACCAGATTCAGTTCAGTGCTACCACTTTGGGTGGTCCCCTAACCTCCCAACATGTAAAGGTGAATATTTCTCTGGCAGCCGCTCAAATGAGAATTAGAATTTTGGATGTTAATTTTGCTTTTCTCTCTGAATTTTCTATTGGCTTCCAGTGTGTCTTATAACTCAGTGCGTTAAGCCAGAGATAAACTTTGGAGGAACACGTGTTGGGTAGTAGATACCTCAGATTTCCTTATTTAAGAAAATAATCTTCAGTTGTTTTTTGAACTATATATTGGAAGTATCTGTAGATAGACATAGTGTGTCTGACACTGCAGCGACCTCTTTAGTCATATTTTTTTCACCACATTTCACCACTAATGGTGGATGTTTCTGTCAGCATGGGCCTCACCTCAAGTTGCCCTGATTGTGTCTAAACAATATTCAAGGGTCATGGAGTTAATTCAGGCCCGTGGGTAACTGAGAGTGAAAATTCGTTGACTAAACGCTCGCCTCCAGTGATGGTCTTTTTAAAAAGAGTTTTGATGAAATGTTTCCCTGGAATGTGACTATCACTGTAAGTTACACAATTATATTTTCTCATTGGTTTGCATATGTTTTTAGGCCATCTAGAACATTGAACATGTTTCCTGGGCTTAAATATACTTCCAGTATGCTAGTTCGGTGTAAGTAACAGAACCGGGAGACGTGAATGTGGGGTAAAGACCATTCTTTTTCCTTTCTCAAAGAACGTGCTAATAAAGCGGGTCATGAGTGATAAATTTAAGAAAGAAAAATCTTCACTTTCCTGGATTTTAAGTTGTAAATTAATACAATTTTAAGTTGTAGACGATGTGACCTTGAACTATGCAGTATTTCTCCCGTAGCTGTGGTACAGCCGTGCGGTCCACCTCCCCCCCTCCCCGATGGGGAAACCGCAGAGACACCGAAGGGACACTATGAGCACGGTGAGGTGGTGGAGTATGTCTGCAACCCGAGGTTCCTGATGAAGGGCTCTAGGAAGGTCCAGTGTGTGGACGGAGAATGGACACCCCCGCCCGTGTGTATTGGTAATGTGCGCACAATATCAGTCTCTCTCGACTTCACTCAGCACTTTGTGTTTCTACTCACATACGCGTATAAATTACATTTTAAAGATGAACATATGTCTGTGGAACTTTCACAGAGGAGAACAGTACATGTGGAGATATACCTGCTCTTGATCACGGCAACGTGTCCCATGCGACTCCTCCCTATCACCATGGGATGTCAGTAGAGTTCAGTTGTGGAGAAGCATTTACGATGATCGGTCACAGATCCATTACGTGTATCAGGGGAAACTGGACCCAGCCACCTCAGTGCATTGGTGAGAACACACTTCTATAGTTGACATTTAATAACATGTAATCGTTTTATTGTAAAACTCGACTTGCAACCACATTTTTGAAGTTCAGAGATATTCCTGAAAATGTCAGGTTGTAGATTATAACAAATCCTAACATTCATTGTTTATAGTTCAGTGGTGTGTACAGAGGAAAAATAGAAACCAGCAATAACATTGTATGTATCTGTCCCTGATCTTAACATTGTTTGCTTGACACGTGTGAAGCTCAATTTTACGTATAGACATATGATTAAAATGTTCTGCCCCAGTGATTATTCTGTACCTCCCTATAATCCAACTTTCCACTCTTCTAAAGATGTTTATTTTCTCCCAATAAACAAAGAAATTCTTTCAGAAACCAGTCATCATAGGGCATATGACAGCAACCATCACACATCCTTTTGACTACAAAGCTTCCTTCAGTCATCTCTGGAAAAAGATTCATTTTGTCTCCCTCAACACTCTGGACCAGTCCTAAAAATTAAGATGAATTCTCAAGCCTCTTGTCTGTTTTAAATTAGTCCCCTCTGTTTTAGTTTTATTTTCAAGGTTGCATTGCAAAATCATTACTTTGGCCACTTACTTGACTTTGTTTTGTTTTGTTCAACCTCACTTGACTCTCATCATTAGCAAATTATTAACAAATACTACCTAAGACCTACACTGATATCTTATCAAAATCAAAAAGGATTGTCAGCTGCATTGCATTTTTGAAATATGTGGCTGTATAAATAACTTCTATAGTCTCTATATAACTCGTAGCGAAGCCAGCAAAAATTGATTATTATGGCATTATAATATCATTGGATAGTAGGATGATCTGATGTATAAAACAGCTTCTCAGAGATTCTAAGAATATATACAAAATAGGTTATGACTTAAAGACCCAGTTCCTTATTCTGGATTTTGGTGATCATGCCAAAGATATGCTTAAATATTCACATTCTGTACATTGCACCGTAGATCAACTTTTATTATTATTTTACATTAAATTTATTTAACAATGTAATTAGACTAGCAATTTCCTATCTTCTACATCCACAGATAGTTTTTTTTTCCACTTAACGTTTTAAGATTGTTGATTAATATAATGTAGAGATGTTTGAGATCAAGTAAAAATGGATATGAAAATTTGCATATTTCTCAGGTGGGACCACATTTAGTCATGAGATGACTCTACTACGTAGATCAGACAAAAAGTGAACCTCCAATGTTCTTGCAGTCCCCGGAGTGCAGAAGGTCCTTAGGATGGTTGTTGTTTCTGCAGTTTCAACACTGGACATAGGACTATGCTCGTACATAAGAGCTCGCCTCATGGACATGCTCAGGAATGACTTTGCTGGTGGAATTTATAGACCTGAATTCTAATTTCATTATACTCTGGACTGTAGAGTTATATTTATGTTAGTTGTTTGGATACTCCTAATTAGTGTTTTCAGTGGAATATTTCCATTTTATAGCAACAGGTGAACTTGCGAAGTGTAAATTACCAACGCTGACCACATCTGAGAGAATCCAGTTGGAATGGGTTGACTCTGAGCATAATCGGCAAATGAACTACTCATGTGGAGGGAAGTCAGGGCAGAAACACTCAACCTGCGTAAATGGGACATGGGAGCCTGAAGTGTCCTGCAAAGGTGAGCTCTTGTTTACAACATTTTCAAAACGTATTCTTTTTCTTCTTACCTTGTAAAGGGAGTCTCTGTGTCTTAAAATTTTTTCATTAGCTATTTATTATGTATAGTTTTGCAGCTGGAAGGTAATTTAGAAAATAACCAAAACACTGTTTCTGAATATTAAGTGTATCGTGCATTCGTCAGCTATATAACAAACCGCCCAGAAATATGGTGGCTTTAAATTAGCATAGGACAGTGGGCGTGCCCATTACTGTTGGAATACAATTGCTGCCAATTTCTCGTGTTACAAATGTGCCTTTGCCTATAACTCATGTGCTTATCTAAGCGTCTGTGGATACATGTGCCTACCTACGTATCTGTCTTTGTAGGCATCCATCTGTCTCTGTGGGTATCTACCCATCTACTCATCTGTTTTTGCGCGCGCGCGTGTGTGTATATATAAATGTCTTTATTGATTTCAGAGAGAGGAAGGGAGAGGGAGGGAGATATAGAAACATCAATGCCTCCTGCGCGCCCCCTACTGGGGATCGAGCCCACAACCCGGGCCTGTGCCCTGACTGGGAATCGAACCTCGATCTCCTGGATCCTAGGTCGATGCTCAACCACTGAGCCACGCCGGCCAGGCTGTCTGTTCACTTACATCTGTCTTGAAAACACTGAGTTATTGCCACCACCAAATTATAATAACACAGGGTTCGTTCACGTTTCCGCTTTTCATGTCTTGCAGCGCCTCTTTAACTGTAGGGCACCTTGACCCACTGTCCTCAATATTTGTACCAGTTTCCTCAGGCTTAGAATATACAGAAAGCATTTTACATAAACCTTCCAAGACTGATGGCGGAAGGAAGAAAAAGTAAGGATCTGTGTAGGCCGTGAGAATATACACCCAGGGCGGTGTGTTAGTGACGGATAAGACGAAACAGTGTAAGGTTTAAACGCGGACATAGCATTATAACTTGATCTTTTGGGATGCCTATTACTGACCATTTCCTGAATTATTATTCTAATATTTCTAACTTGCGATTTTTCACCAAGAAATCTAATTCTTGTATTTCTAGAAGCGCCAAGGTGCCCACCCCCACCTCAGATTCCCAAATCTCAAACTATGACAACGACAGTGAATTATCCAGAAGGAGAAAAAATATCTATCCTGTGTCAAGAAAACTTTCTAATTCAGGAAGGAGAGGAAATCGTGTGCAGGAACGGGACCTGGGAGTCGATCCCGCGCTGCGTGGGTCAGTAGCGGGCCCCAGCTTCAGCTGCCTTTCGGTGGGGCCCTCCCGCGTCCCTGTCGCCTTGTGGGGAGCAGCGCATTGCGGTCCGGGGGCGGAGATCAGTCTGCACCGTTCCGCTCCTCCTGAGAAATGAGCACAAACGGAAACGGCGGGTGGCTGTGGGAGTGCCAGAGACAACGGCTGCTTATGCGCATTTTAGGCCAGAAGATGAACAGGGGTGACGGGGCTCCTGGGGCAAATGGCCGGTGGCATGGGCTTTCTGGAGCCCTGTGTCTTTGCAAGTTTCAAGTGTTTTTTAGTTATTAAATCATTTCATTTGTTCAAATTATCCTTACTGTAAAATCCCAGCCATCAGAAGGCTTCACTGTCCCATCGGAAGACTTCACTGTCCCATCAGAAGGCTTCACTGTCCCATCGGAAGGCTTCACTGTCCCATCGGAAGGCTTCACTGTCCCATCGGAAGGCCACCTTGGCACCTGACCCTTGCCCTCTGCTCTTTATACAGAAAAGGCTCCCTGCCCCGAGCCGCCGCATGTGGAGCATGGACACGTCGAGTCCCCTGGCGCCGCGGAGGACGGAGAAGAGACCCCGGGACCCCAGCTCTACGCACATGGCACCAAGTTAAATTATACTTGTAATGACGGCTTCAGATTGTCTAAAGAAGATGGGATAACATGCCACCTGGGGAAATGGGGGACTTCACCTCAGTGTGTAGGTAAGACAGCAGGGAAACTAAAAGCTTATTTTTGGTACAATAATCATCATGCCTTTGATGAAAATAATCATCATCAAAGGCATAATTCTTTAGATGTACAAATATTCCAAACCATTTATATATTTATGTGTCATTTATATATTAACACATTTTATCAAAAAATTTTTGCATAACCAAACCAGTCCCATTTTTGTTCATTTTATTGGTTCATAATGAAATCATTTTTAATTTTGGGGGAGTTTTTCCTACTAAAACTGGAAGTGTAGTAAAATCAAACCCAGCTATTCATCTAGGTCTGCATAGTCATATTCCTACATATTCATTTGGGTTTTAGTGAAGTCTCTGCTAGCAGGTTTTTTAAAAAATTTATGTTCTTCCTACAAATTTACGTCCCTTCTTTTTTAAAAAATATATTTTATTGATTTCAGAGAGAGGAAGGGGAAGAGAGAGAGAGAGAGAGAGAGAGAAAGAAACATCGGTGATGAGAGAGTCATTGATCGGCTGCCTCCTGCACACCCCCTGCTGGGGATCGAGGAGCCCGCAACCTGGGCATGTGCCCTGCTCAGGAATCAAACCGAGATCTCCTGGATCCTAGGTGGATGCTCAGCTGCTGAGCCAAACCCGGCCGGGCCCTGCTATGTCCCTTCTGATCTCTTACAATATATGCTACTTTTATTAAGGTGATTAATTCTCATGTGTTTCTTTTTATTACTCATGATTGGTTAGAGAACCATTGACAGCCCCATTTTTAGATATGTTCCCACTTTTGTATCAAGTTCTTGGTTCAAGCTGACAGCTGGACACAAAACACAATGGTGGTTTTAGAAGCATTTGTGTACCTTTTCTGTGATGTGATATTGGCACCTGTTGGTCATTTTCTTTCAAATAAGAGTATCAAATATGACAGCCAGTATATGAGATAAGTTACATTTCAGTTAATGAAATATGCATTCTTTTTGTGTGTGTGTTTTTTTAGGACTTCCTTGTGGACCACCACCTAAGATTCCCAATGCTAATATGTATAATGTGTTAAACAGTTATCAATATGGGCAAAAATATACGTATAGCTGTCTCAACGGATTTGGAATTCAAGGACCTGCATCTGTAGAATGTGAAGGAAGAAAATGGTCCCCTGAACCAGAATGCACAAGTATAGTGTACTTAATTTCATTCTAAGGCTGACAAATATCTATAATTCAGAGCATTAATGATACAAATATAAAACTGCAGTCATTCTAGAAGGTACCTCTAGAAAGTTCTGGATTCTGGTAGAGAATTCATAGCCCCAGTAATATGAAAACTTTGGCAACAGGGGCCGAAGTATTTCATTTTGACGTCATCTGAGTTCACTTTCCACGTGTCCAATGGACATCCCATCGCTCTTCCTGTATCACAGCTGGTCCCTGCCTACCAATCTCAGCATTATTCAATTCACCTTTTAGTTTATCAGTTATCTCCTTATAAGTACATAATTTTCTAAGATGTTTGATGTAATTATGGGAAACAGATTTAGACAGAAGCAAAACATAGGAATATGTACATGCTGTAGATGGTCCGTATGGACAAATAAGAATTTGGATGTAAGAAGTTGGTCTCAAGCGTTACCTGTCTGCCCATCTCCTCGGGCTTTCAATATCACTGTTCCCGCAGTACACTTTGGATAAATGTAGAATCATTCAGTGTAATTAAGTCACGACTGCTAACATATTTCCAAGTTACAAGAAAAATATTATACAGGATGCATTGGTTTGGTATATACCTAATATTCTAGAGTATAATTATTGGCCAATATGTGTTTTTAAAGCTTTACTGAACAAGTATATGGGTGTTTTTTTGTTTTGTGTATGTGCGTTTCAGAAGCAACTTGTTCTCAGCCACCCAGCTTTGATAATGCCATCTTTGTGGGCCCGAGGAAGACATTATATAGGTCAGGAGACAGAGTGACTTATAGATGTCAAGAATATTACCAAATGGATGGACTCAATTATGTAACATGTAAGAACAACAGGTGGATAGGATCTCTAACATGCAAAGGTATGTTGATGAAATTTTAAAATTTATTTTTATTTTTATTATTACTTTTTAATATGTCTTTACTGATTTCAGAGAGAAGAAGGGAGAAGGCGGAGAGCTGAGAGAGAGAGAAACATCAATAATGAGAGTCATTGATCGGCTGCCTCCTGCACACCCCCGACTGGGGACCGAGCCGGCAGCCTGGGCCTGGGCCCTGACTAGGAGCCGAACCCCAATCTCCTGGGTCAGAGGTCGATGCTCAACCGCTGAGCCACGCCAGCTGGGTGAAAATTTGTTTTTAAAGTGTCTTTAATAATATAATACAAAATTGCTTCTTGCATCAATAAAAAAAAGACATAGGTTCTGGTTTAGGCCAGACCGAGGAAGGTTAACGCCTTAACCTAGAGGAGTGAGTGTGTCCTCAGAGGTGGGCGTTGGAGCCCCAGAGGTCTCAGCCGCATCGGAGTCCCTGGGGGATTGGTAGGACTGCAAATGGAAATCCACAGGCTCAGCTACCTCGGAATCAGAAACTCCAGGGCTGTGACCCAGAAACTTGAAGAATTCCCAGCAGAGTCTACGCACACATTTTTCCAGGACAGTAGCTTTAGCCTGTGATTCCTTTATATCTACCTGAACCTCACCCGGGAGCTGCACGTTGCTCACTGCAGCGCCCGTAAGCACGCCAATGACCAAAGAGTATTTTTATAAAAATTATAAATTCCGCTTCCCTCAATTTCTGTTTGGATCTTCTAAGTGGTCTTCTTCCTTCACCTGCTTGGTTATCCCTCCGAGCACGTTGATTCTTAATTTTTTCTCGGTGCGTCTTTTTCTAAGGACCTGAAGCTACAATTCAAAAGCATGTTTGCAAACCAAATTCTGATGCCAAATAATCTCTTTATTATGAGTTTCTAGGGTTTATAAATTCATTTTGAATTTATATAATTTATGTTTATTTTATTAAATGTGAAGGGAAATGACCAGAAAAACCATCACCCTTTTTTTCTTTGCCTTTAAAAGAAATTGTTTAAATCTGTAGTGAATTTATTGGGGTGACATTGGTTAATAAATGGTGTTGGGAAAATTGAACAGATACAAGCAAAACAATGAAATTGGGTCACCTTCTTACACCCTACACAAGAGTAAACTCAAAATGGATTAAAGACTTAATGTAAGATTCAAAACCATAAAAATCCTAGAAGAAAACATAGGCAGTAAAATCTCGGACATTTCTCGTAGCAGCATTTTCTCAGATGTGTCTCCTCGGGCAAGGGAAATAAAAGAAAAAATAAACAAATGGGACTACATCAAACTGAAAAGTTTTGCAGAGCAAGGTCATCACTTTGATGGGCCTGAAAATCTCTATTAACCTTCGAGAGAGGATGGGGAAGAAGCTTAACTCACCCAGAAAAATATTGCTTTATCTCCTTTGTCGCTCTTCTGTGTAAATTTGTGGGAATGTCCAGTCTTAATGACAGGTGAACTGCTGGCTTTAAGTGCCCAGAAGCAGGTGGGAATCCCGTTGGCCGATGTGCGTTCTCACGAGCGCGGCTTAGGGACCCGTGTTGTTTCCTTCTGCTCAGATACTTCCTGCGGCAGCCCCCCCGCCGTGGAAAACGCCTTTGTGCAAAACAACATGCCCCGGTATTCGTCTGGCGACACAGTACGTTACGCGTGCAAGAACTCTTTGGATCTCTTCGGCAACCCAGAAGTGTCATGTTTAAATGGGACCTGGACAGACCCACCTCAGTGCAAAGGTAGGGTGTCAGTCCCTGTCCCCCGNCTGGACAGACCCACCTCAGTGCAAAGGTAGGGTGTCAGTCCCCGTCCCCCGTCTCTGTGCAAAATACTTGGAGTAGGCACCTGGCTCTAGTGCTGCGGCCCAGCCGCCCTTCATTGGGTGATTCGGGCTGACAGGAGGCCAGTGTCCCTTCCACCNGTCTCTGTGCAAAATACTTGGAGTGGGCACCTGGCTCTAGTGCTGCGGCCCAGCCGCCCTTCATTGGGTGATTCGGGCTGAAAGGGGCCAGTGTCCCTTCCACCTAGCCCACGGCCACCTGAAGATCTGCCGATCACTCAGTAAATCCAATAACATCTCTTTTTAGAGTCCAGGTGGAAATGTGGGCCCCCTCCTACTATTGACAATGGAGACATTACCACGTACCCATTGGCACGCTATGCTCCGGGGTCTTCAGTGGAGTATCAGTGTCAGTCCTACTACGAACTTCAGGGAAACAGGAAAATAGAGTGTCGCGATGGAAAGTGGAGTGAGCCACCGAAATGCTTAGGTGAGTCCTTTACTGTCCTTGTGGGCCCCGGGAAATACGTGCAATGACTGTCATGCTTTGCTGTTTAGAACAGAACTTTCACGGACTATCAGCCACTCTCTTAGATGCTTGACAGCCAAATAGTAATACGCGAGGTTACGAAGTTTGAGAAATTCGTGAGCAACCAAAAGCTATTTGTCTTTATTTTACTTCATTTTCCCCATCACCATTTATTCCCCTGCACCCTCCCCACCTCCACCTACCCCCTTCAGCGATTCTTCAGTGAAAGCTCTTCATAGTGGACTCGGGCCGACATGTGATGATCACGCGTTACAGATAGTTCCTCATTTTACTGCCATTGGTCGTCTTAAATGACTTACGTGTACATGATGGGTTTTCAGTGCATTGGTTTGGAAAAGATTTTAAGAATAAATTCCTGGATCTGTGTAGAAGATTCTACATGAAAATCTAAAATTCTGTGGAAAATATTTGGATACTAATTAATGCTTTATGTTCCCTTTATTTTTTTCCTTCAGACGCTTGTGTAATATCAGAAGAAACCATGGAAAAACATCACATAAGGCTTAAATGGATATATGCAAAAAAAATTTATTCAAGAACAGATGACTATATTGAGTTTACATGTGAATATGGATACAGAAAGGTGTCACCAGACTCTGCATTCCGAGCACTCTGTCTAGAAGGGAAAGTGGCATATCCCACTTGTGCATGAAATGACAGTTACGTGGCAGTCTTAAAATCAAAGTAGGCACATTCATTCAGAATTTTTTTATTATTAAGCCAAATTCTTCACAATTTAGTTTTTCAAGTAGGTTTAACTCATTTTTATTCATAACTCAAAATTTGTGTTAAGTATTATGTGGACGATGTCATTAGAATCCAGGAGACCAATGAATCACTTCCTAAAAGCATCTCATTAAAATGGGAGAAACCCAAAGGCTGCGTGTTCTGTTCCTGAAATGTCTGTGGCCCGAACTGAGCTGCGTTCCCGGCCCGCTCCCACCCCGCGTTCCCCTCACTTCTCGAAGCTTCCTCACAACCGCTGAGGCTTTTGAGACTCTTATGTCAGAGGAAATGGGAAGACATGCTTGTCTGCACCTTCAACATAAAATTACTTCACAAACACGTAAAAACCAAACTCTGTCACACCCATGCTGCCAATTAGACGTTAAAGGTTATTAGTTAGTGTTGCTTCTCTACCAGTAGCTTAATACACCCCAAAAGTGATGAGATGCGAGACCCTCTGCATGTCCATCTAGCAGGTGTAATAATTCAGACAGATCATAGAGAGGTGCTAGAACCTCAGTGGGGCAGAGCCGTTGTAACACGGACATGAAAACTGATGAAATACAAGGTCAGGGACAGTCACACCCGCACATCCGCACAATGTGCCCTGAGCGGTGCCCAGAAGTTTACAGGACAAAGGCCGGGAGGAGGTACAGGGACGCGCTCCCTCCACCGCAGGGAACCGGCGCGCGGGTCTTCAATTCCTGTGTTTCCCACTCCTCTGTCCTCAACATATGTCCCCCCGAACCACAAGACATGCTAGTGTAACATAAACAGACCCCGAGGGCAGGAGCGTGCGGCCTGAGAGGCGTAGAGAACTCTGCCACGGCCAGGCGGACACTGTCAGGACAGACTCCCCAAGGGAGGCTAGCGGGCCATCAGGCAATCTCATAGGCTTCTGGTTCCCATAGGGGTGTGTTGTCAACCTGTTGAACAGCCCCCCTCTTTGGTAGATGATACATGGCCCCCCGTGGAGTTTTCGTGTGTACTTTGTACCGAATGTGCTTTCGTGCGCTAGTGTTGTAAGTACCATCTGTTTGGGGTTTCTCTGAACTTTCTGATGGACACCAGTCTCTTTTCCATATTGTTGTTTTCGTTTAGAGACAATAGGATCGTCACATTTCATCTCACACTTCTGTGATATAAATTAGAAATAGTCTCCAGGTTGTTACTGGCTTTTGGAGTTCATGCTCATTTTCTGAGGCAGAAAGTTTTGAATTGTATGTTCTTACAATTATGACCCGTATTGAATGAACTCTGTGTCCTTCCCACGACACCCTCACACTGTGATAAACAGACTATTTATTTTCCATCTAGGTATTTAGGATTAAAAACCTTCCGGTTGTTTTGAGGAATTTTCGAATCATGTTGTCAGTGATTTTGTTGTTGTTAAATAGGGTCCTTTTACTTGGGCCATATTGAAAGCATAAATTAATTGAGAATTGACATCTCACTGATAGCAAGTCTTCCGATCCACAAACATTATGGGCCTCATCATCTATTTGTCTTTAAATTTTTTCTCAGTAATGTTTTGCAGTTTGCAGTGTAGCGATCTTACCAATATTTTGTCAAATTTATCCCTTAATATTTTAAGGGTTTTTTTTAATGTTTATAAAAGATAGTGTTCTTTTTAACATTTCATTTTCTAAGATTTTTTTCCCCCCAATATAAAGAAAATGCTTTTGTGTATTAGTTCCAGTAACTCTCTTTTTGTGAAATTCTGAGAGTTTTTTTCAATTACAAATTCATATTCTACGCTCTCCTTACGCTGTTCACGCTGTTTTCCCTGCCTCAGTGAATTGGAAATCACCTGGGCCGAATGTTTTATCATTAAGACACTTTTCATGTCCTCTGGTGTTTCCCTTTTGAACTTCATTGTATCTGATGTTACCAGACCCACTCACTTTTTACACAATTGCTTAATACAAGGTTTGCAGTTTTCAACGTTCTGTTTTTATGGTGTCACTTTTTTTTGTTTTGTTTTGCTTTTTAAATATATTTTTATTGATTTCAGAGAGAGGAGGGAGAGGGAGAGAAACATCAATGATGAGAGTCATTGACCCGCTGCCCCCTGGGGACCCCCTGACCGGGATCGAACCCCTGACTTCCTGGATCCCGGGTCGATGCTCAACCGCTGAGCCAGGCCACCGGGCACGATGTCATGTTTTGTAATTGGCGTTTAGTTTTAATTTAACATCAGTAATGAATATTGATGGCTTATTTATGCCATTTGCTAATCGCTGCTCATTTGTGCCATCTGTGTGTCAGCATTGCTGAGAACCCCCTGCATTCTTTCCATGAGCCTGTGCTTTCAGCATTTCATTTTATACCATTTGTTGGTTATTAAGTGTCTGTGTTTTTAGTAATTGATCTAGGGCTTTTCATATACGTTTTTGGCAGTCACAGTAGTAGATTATTAATGAAAAATGGAGGGGCTTTTGCAAAACTCACTGAACTTTGATATTTACTGAGTCACCTCGATAAACTAGCTTCTGGTGTTTCCCTTAAATTCCCGTTTCACAACTGCTCGTGCAGCGGATCTGAAACCTCGCGCAGCGCGGCCCAGCACCTGTTGGTGCAGCACCGGGCGCCCCAACATGCTGCTGNCCGTTTCACAACTGCTCGTGCAGCGGATCTGAAACCTCGCGGCCCAGCACCTGTTGGTGCAGCACCGGGCGCCCCAACATGCTGCTGCTGGTCAGCGTCCTGCTCGCCCTGTGGGCCCCCTGGGCTCAGGGACAGGGTAAGTTGAAAACGACCTGAGTGTTTAGCTTCCTTCTTAAATGTGACCTTGTCCGGGCTCGTTTGTCTTCTTGCTGTTGCGGGTGTTAATCCTAACCCCAAGGATATTTTTCCTATTGCGACAGAGAGAAACTTCGATGTAGGAGACACATCGACCGGTTGCCTTCCCCACGCGCCCCNGTCCCCAGCCTGGACCAGGGGTCGAACCTGGAACCCAACAGGCAGCCCTTCGGGGCCCGGCCGAAGCTCTAACCCCGCAGGCACCCCGGCCAGGGCTGTCTGTGCTTTTTGAAAGAATTGTCGAGTGGNAACCCCTCAGGCACCCCGGCCAGGGCTGTCTGTGCTTTTTGAAAGAATTGTCGAGTGGAAAGTATCTGTGCTGTAAGGTGACACTAAGGAGCAATCGATGGAATAATTGTCACGTACCCACCCGGGGGGATTAAAGTAGATTGTTTTCTGTCTTCTGAGTTCCACAGTGTGGGAGCCACTCCACAGGGACTGGGGGGAGTCATGTGAAGATGCTCCTGATAGTGTGGCTAGAAAACATGTCACAGAAAAGCTAGATTATGTCTCCAAAACGTCTGGGGGACTCTGACTTCTATACACGAAAATTTGCAGAGCAATGCATATTTTCATCATCTTACAAATTACAGTGATTTTATAGATTCTTATGTCAAACATCATCAGGCCATAAGTTTTTTAAATGTTTACAACATTTTAATTTTAATGTTATAAAGTTAGTACAGGTCATCAATATTATAATCAATTTAATATTTTACCAAAATTGGCTATATGTGAGAGATGTATTTCTTTTTTTAAATAAATATTTTCGTATACATAGAGATAAAAGGGGGAGATCTGTAATACTTCCAACAATAAAGATAAATTATTAAAATAAATATATTCTTAATTTCCAGTGTAATCTCAATACATTTTAATTGGTGTTTAGAAACCATGGACAATTGTTGAAAATTTAAACATTTTTAAAAGCACTAGTTATTATTACATTTTCAAATACTGCACTGTCATTTTCTGTCTGTCATTTATTTTATAACTCAGTCCTCCCATTTTTGAGTTACCATAAATTAAACTTCCAGTAAGCCCAGGTATGAGTAGAGTATGCATCCCTGTGCATTATTAATTTCATAATTTGTTGCATGTTGGNCTATGAGCAGACTATGCATCCCTGTGCATTATTAATTTCATAATTTGTTGCATGTTGGAGTTTGTATGTTGTTTAGTTGGGTCAATTTCCTTCAGTAACAACGATAACAACACAGCAAAGCTCCCTAAGTGTCCAGTTAACAGCACCCCAGTCCCTGGTGCACTCACAGGAGGGGCTTGAGCGTCCACTGATGTGATGTCTGGGAGCCGTCCTGGGACCAGTCCCTCCTGGGTCTGGAGGGACAACCCTACCAGGCGCCTGGGAGGATGGGACTCAGAATATTTGTGAACAACCCTTATCACAACTTCACAAGCCAAGGAAGCTGAGGGCAGAGAGAGGTATAGCTGGCCGTCCAAAGTGGCTGAGCGATTGAGGGTCAACCCAGGAACCGAGAGGTCGCGGTTCGACTCCTGGTCAGGGCTCCTGCCCGGGTTGTGGACTCGATCCCCAGCAGGGGGCGCGCAGGGGGCAGCCGATCGGTGATGTTTCTCTCTCCTGAGTGTTTCTGTCTCTCTCTCCCTCTCCCTTGCTCTCTCTGAAATCAATAAAGATTTTTTTTTTTAAACACCAGGNTTTTTAAAAAAAAAAAACACCAGGCAAGAGTACCACCATTTAACACCTAGTATACTAGTCACTGNTTTTTTTTTTAAACACCAGGCAAGAGTACCACCATTTAACACCTAGTATACTAGTCACTGATGGCTGTGTAACAAATTCCCCCAAATACACTGTCTTAAAACAACAGCCCCTCTGGTCAGTCCCATTGTTGGCAGGGGCAGGATTTGGAAGCGGCTTAGCTGCCTCACCTGAAGCCACTCCCTGCCCCGCTGCCCTGGGAGGCTGGCCAGGCGGGAGCTGGGCTGCCCGGGGCTGCAGGATGCACTTCCAAGAGGGCCCACGCCCAGGGCTCCTGCAGGAGGCTCAGGGTCAGTCCACCTGGGTGTCCCCACAGGGCCTTGACTCGCCCAGAGCCAGTGACCTGAGAAACCTGGAGAGGCCTCCGGGCCATTTATGACCTGGCCGCGCACCGCCCCTCAGCCGCACCTGCTCCTGAGAACAGAGGCCCTCAGTCCAGCCTCACCAAGGGGAGGGGACTGGGCTCCTCGGAGGAGGGAGACAATGTCCTGTGGGAGACACTGTTGATTTTCTAAAGTCATCACGTGCCACCAAATGCCACGCAGTTCAACAGGCTATTTTATTTCTACCCCTGATTTTTCTCCCCTTTCCAAGGGTTTTCTGTCTCTGCAACCGCACTGCTTTTCTTTACCTATCAGCTCATTGTAAAGGGGCCCACACTGAAGCTGGATCTTCCGTGAGTGAAAAGTGAACTGATACAAACAGCAGGCCAGTGGCCTCGGTGTTGATTCAAGGCCAAGTCCAAGTGAGTGTTAACGTGCGGTTCCCTTAAAGGGGCTGCTGCCACCACCAGGAAACAGACCTCAGGGCGCGTAGGAAGATGCTTCATTATTGACTGATTTAGATAAAATAGACACATAAAGTTATATTAATTTCAGGTGCACAGCATAATGGTTTGATGTTGTTTTATACACTGTGAAATGGTCACGAGTGTTATTTACCTCATGTGAATTGTATAACTTTTTGTGTCCTAGAATCCTGAATCAATGAGTATTAGTATGTTAAGAACGAAGCATAATTCACCAATGAAACTATCTCTCCTTTGATTTTTGTGCATGTAAAACATTGTTTGTACTGTGTTTTGTTTGCTTTATTTGCTAGATAAGCCCTGCCAATTTCCAGAAATAAAACATGGGCGCCTTTTTACGGAAGACAGATATAGACTCGACTTCAAAGTAATGGGAAGGAAACAGTTTTTGTATATCTGTGATGACAACTACGTGACTCCTTCGGAGAACAGTTGGGATTACATTGTGTGCAAAGCAAACGGATGGTCGCCGAAGGTGCCCTGCCGCAGTAAGTAAACCTCCCAGCCTGGGCAGGTAGAAGTATTTCAGAGCGGACCGAGGAAAACGTGAATTCAGGTCAGCCTGTGTGAGAAAAATAAGGCTGAGGAAAGAGATCTATGATCAGAAAGACCAATACAGGTATTTTCTTTTATGATCAGTTCCTCACTTAAAAACACGAGAGAGAAAAATAAAGACTTTATAACTATTGATACCATTTATTCATACTTAATTGTGAAAACTACAGATAGATAAATGTTAATATCGATTTTTCTTTTTTAATCCCATTTGCCAGCAACTTCCGTCTTTCTTCAGCTATTTGTTATTTTTGGGTGTCCAGGCATTCTAATTTAAATATTGTAAAGATGATTTTTCATTTATTATTTTGACCAGATTTGTGTGGGGCTTTTTTTTTTTTCTCATTATCATTTTATAATTCTTAGGAAAATGTGTTTTCAATAAATTGGAACATGGATATTCTCCAGATGGTGAAGAGACATATTTTCAAGGCCAGTCTACAAAAGTCACCTGCCATCCTGGCTACAGTCTTGAAAACCAGCAGGACACACTGACCTGCACGGAGAACGGCTGGTCGCCTCCTCCAAGATGCGTCCTTACCAGTAAGACCAGTAAGTAAGCAGCTCTGAGCTCCAGCCTTTGATTTCCTGAGACCAGACTGACTTCTGTGGAAATGTTCATGTATCTGCTCTCGAGCTGAATGTATCACGTCTTCTTCGTCTTAAAACAAAGGCAGCCCGGCCGGGCGGGGCTCAGCGGCTGAGTGTCCACCTGGGATGCAGGCGATCGGGGTTCGATTCCCGGTCAGGGCACAGGCCCGGGTTGTGGCCTGGATCAATGACTCATCATTGATGTTTCTCTCTCTTCCTCTCTCTCCTTTCCTCAATCTCAAATCAATAAAGATATATTTTTAAAAAACAAACAAAAACAAGAAAACACAAAGTCATCTTTGGCCCTGGTCTGCGTGGCTGGTGCTCAGAGCGTCGGCCTGAGCACTGAAGGTGGCGGGTTCAATTTCCGGTCAAGGGCATGTACCTGGGTTGCAGGTTCCACCCCTGGGGGCATGTGGGAGGCAACCAGTCCATCTCTCTCTCCCTCTCTCTCCTCTCTCTCTCTCTCGGACTAAGCACCTTTATACATGTATAGAAATACAGTTGTCAACTTGATTTTGCTCTAGAACATTGTAATATGCCAATATTTGAGAACGCCAGGGCCGTAATCATGGGGAAACCATTTGGACCCAACGACACGCTGGACTATCAGTGCCTGGATGGATACGAAAACAGAGATGGGAGCACCGCGGGCTCCATGGTGTGCGGTGAGGGTGGCTGGTCCCGCTTGCCAACCTGCTTCAGTGAGTATTTTCATTCCAGTATTTCCTTTTTCCAAGAATTGAAAAGTCTACATGTATGCAGTCCTTGCTGGGACCCTCTAAGGCATTTTTAACACACAAGGTTTAAAATGCAGAATAGGGACAGTAGTTCCTATGGAGCTTTACGCAGACAGTTGCCAATAAATCAACGCCTTTTCCTTCAGCGCTTAAAGTGCTGTTTTTCAGAATCTGCGGAAAAGTGCGGGCCTCCTCCAGCTGTTAGCAATGGAGACATCACCTCCTTCCCGCTAGCAGAATACCTCCCGTCGTCAAGAGTCGAATACCAGTGCCAGGCCTACTACGAACTGCAGGGCCCTAGATATGTAACCTGTAGTTCTGGAAAGTGGTCCAAACCCCCGCGATGCATAGGTAAGTTCTTCAGATGCTTCTGGATCCTGGGAGCGTGAGAGTCATGTTTACGTGCGCACTGCGGTCTCCTGGTCGTGGAGCGACTAGATTGGGGGCACCTGAGGTCACCAGCTAGTCAAATGGGAAATGGAGAAAGAATAACCGTGGCCACGGTGGAGCAGGTTCTCATGGCCCACTTGATATGAAGCCACCTGTGTGGGTGCCAGACACCCCAAAGATAAAGAGCTGAGGCTCTGGAGCCACCTGCCAGGGTCCACGCTCGTCACCCCCACCTGATAAGCTCTGTGACCTTGGGCGGGTGTAGCCGGACTTCCCTTTCCCTCGGTTTCTCGTGTGACCAGGGCAACTGCCCGATGGAGGAGCTGTGGGGCCTCCTAGACAAGTGCTAAGAGAGTCCTTGGCCCACGTTAGTGTCTGTCATCTATTTCGATTATTTCATCCTCTTGTGTTGTCCTAAACCAGTCATTAGGTTGAAGTTTGATTAGTCCATAAAAGAAAAGATTATTCGGCCGGCCGTGGCTCAGCGGTTGAGCATCGACCTAGGATCCAGGGGGTCACAGGTTCAATTCCCGGTCAGGGCACAGGCCCGGGTTGCGGGCTCGATCCCCAGGAGCCGATCAGTGAGTCTCATCATTGATGTTTCTCTCTCTCTCCCCCTTCTTCTCTCTCTCTGAAATCAATAAAGACATATTTTAAAAAAGAAAAGATTACTCATTGTTTTCGTCTTTTTCTCTACTTTCAGATCCATGTGTAATATCTGAAAACCACATGAATGAAAATAACATACAGTTAAAAGGGAAAGATGACAAAACCTATTATGTAAAAACAGGGGACACCGTGGGATTCTCGTGTAAACCGGGACACAGAGCAGCAACCTCAGAGCAGTCGTTTGAAGTCGCGTGTGTGGAAGGGACAGTGAAGCTCCCCAGATGTGAATGAAGAGCCCCCACCCCCCGCTCTCACTGCCTCAAAGCTGGCAAACATCTCCTGACGTTTCCTGCTCTTTTCTACTTTATTTCAAAGAAAATAAAAACAATATGTTGGCCTCATTTTCAACTTAATCTCCCCCCAAAGATGTTAAAGCAGCCGTATCACGCTCAGCTCGCACCAAGACAGTAACTTCACTCCTGTGGGAGTGGACTCCTTGCCGGGAGATCGATAAGCAGCCGAGGGGGAAGGTGCGCCCTCTGCGTACTGAAGCGGGTGTTCCGACAGTCAGACAAAACTCCCGGGCTTAGAACTTACTGGGGGACACAGTACAAACTCGAGATGCAGCCCGGCTGGTGTGGCTCAGTGGTTGAGCATCGACCCGGGAACCAAGCGGTCGCCTGTTTGATTCCCGGTCAGGACACAGGCCCGGGGTGCGGGCTCCGTGCCCGGTGGGGAGCGAGCAGGAGGCAGCCGACAGTGACGTTTCTCTCTCATCGATGATTCTCTCTCTCTCTCTCTCCCTTTTTCTTTCTTGCTCTTAAAAAAAAAAAAAAATCAATAAAAACATTTAAAAACACACACACAAAAAAAACAAGATGTTAAAACAGTAAAAATAATCCCGTTACAATATCCCCTTCCTGGGCTCAGCGGGTGGGTTTCTGGGCTGAGGAGTCGTGCTGAGGACCAAGGACAGTTTTCATTCCGTTTCCCTTTGTGTGGTTCGAACAGTTTGACAGGCCGAAGCCGTGCTTTTCTGTCTGACAGAAATAAATCGATTAATGTAAACGTGAAAATCTTAAAATATCTGGCCCTAGAAGACGGGCGATCAAGTTAGGCTGGGGGTCCAATCCTCCAAACCAGAAATAAAAGGACCCGTTCTGGTCTTTATTTTCAGACAGAGAAAATGTTCATCATAAACAATTTAGATTCAAATCTTCAGGCAACTTAAAACGTCGAGGTTTCTATAGTCTCCAGCTGTTTTCTTCCAAAAACTGTTTCTCAAAATGTCTTATGATGCATTGAAATCCGAGTGTTCTTTCTGCCACTCATCCTACGTCCTTACGGGTTCTTGATAAGACGGTGTCCTTGGGGGGAGGGAGAGAGGGGCCGACAGACATTGGGAGAGAGATTTTTGAAATAATCATCATTTTTGTTAAATATTTATTACAGTCCCAGCCTCTTGATATTTCATATAATTAGTCATTGTTTTCACTAAAACCACACTTGAAAAACTATGCCAATTCCTTTTTATAAACTCCGTGTCGCTTACTACATTAACACCATCCCCCCACCCCCATTTTTCTAAGTTATTTAGTTATTTAGTTACTTTTTTCTCTTAGGAATTAGAAATCCAAGATAGGTGAAAACATTTAAACAGCATATAAAATTTTTCTATTCTGATTTTTACCACCATTAAAAAAGTTATACACCATCATTTTATTATATTCTTTTAGTTGTATTACTGTGTTTTTTTAAGGTTGTTTTCTACTTATCAAGAAGTGGAATATGTTTTTTTTAAATTGTCCCATGAGAAAACACTTCAGTAAGTCATTTCAGGTTTTTACATAGAAACGTGTTCCTGGTAAATAAACCCCATAGTTTCAGTCGTTGTTGTTAACATGCTCTTGTATCGGTAGAAGGATTTGTACAGCCGTGTTTCCGATCGTTATTAGTTATTCATGAACCTACCCTGGGAAGCGGGAGAAAGTGCGACTTTCTGTCTCAGAACGCGCACCTGTCACTATTCCTCACATGCATCGATTTTCTTTCTAACCCCCTCGCGAGGGTATTTTTTCCGTTGCTTTTCAGAGAGAGCGGAAGGGGGGGGTAGAAACATCGCTTGGCTGCCTCCCCCATACGGCCCGACCAAGGCCAGGGATGGACTTACAGCCCAGGTCCGCGCCCTTGGTCAGAATCGAACCCGGGACCCTTCCGTCCGCAGGCCGAGGCTCTAACCACGGAGCCAAACTGGCCAGGCCTATAAACTGATTGATTTGCCAAGTTGCCAAAGTGCCTCGAGTACCCTACAGCCCACGGTGCTTCGAGTTCAGACAGCTCGCCAAGCTCGTTGAATTAATACCCCTGGGAGCTCGCTTGGCTTTTTAAAAAAATCTATAGAAAATAACTGTTTTTCTTTGTAATGACCATGAAGTGCAAGTGTCCTAGAGCCTAACAGGTCTGACGTTTGCCGCACGGGGAAGCTCCCGGCGGGATGAGGCCGCGAAGCAGGGCGCGGGCGCGGGCGCGGGCCTACCTCCGTCGCTGGACGCATCGTGGGTACCTCAGCTGCCCCCGGTCGCACCGCACCGGGAGTTCGATTCCCACGGGAGACAGCTCGGCCATGTACGTGTCTCTCCGACAAAGAAAGTGAACGTACTCGCCGTGGAAAATATAGGGCCTGTTGTCAAAACTCCACTTCAGGAGCAAGTTGTTCTTGTCCATTTCCGCCCGAGACAACACGCACGGCTCTGGGAAAAAGAGGAAAAGGGACCTCGGTGCCGCCAGGAAGCCCTGTGCCGCCTGCAAACGGGGCTCGTGTTCACGTCGGAAGAAAATGCCCGGGGCTCCCGGGCCGGTGCTGCTGGGCGGTTGAGCGTCGACTCGTGAACCAAGAGGTTGCGGGTTCGGCTCCCGGTCGGGGCACCTGCCGGGGCTGCGGGCTCCTCGGTGCCCAGCAGGGGGCGCAGGAGGCAGCCGGCCAGTGACTCTCATCAGTGATGTTTCTCTCTCCCTCCCTCCCGCTCCTTCTCTCCGAAATCAATAAACACATATTTTAAAAAGAAAGAAAGGTGGTCTTGGTCTATTAGAGACGGGCACGTACCTAGGCACGAGGGCGGTGCCGTCCACGCTCCCTCCAAGCAGTGGGAGTCTCTAGGCCCCTGTAGGAAATGATGCTGCGAACACCTGTATTCCACCGAGGACCCGTTTTCATAGGTGCCGGTTCTGGCACCGACGACGACCCCGTTTTCAATAAGGGGGGGAGGCCCGCAGGTGCCTTTAGACTCTGCAAAAATACATACAGTGCGTGGCTGTGATCAGCACCCGGCGCGCTCATAATGGCTACGGAAACACGGGAGAGATTTCACGGAAAAGCGTTTATAAGGTAGCTCGCCAATCGTTTTTAAGTATCGAGAGCATTTCTGCAGGAGCTTCGTCCTGGAACACTGGCTGTTGCCGTTAGAATCTCATGTTATAATATTTTAATACACATTTAAAATTAGCCAACATACGTGACCCGCGGACGCAGACAATAGTGTGGAGAAGACCTGGGGGTGGGGGGATG